TATTAATACCATTATAAGGAAGGAAATATAAAAATGATAGTAATAATATGTAATAGTAATAATAAAAATATGACGTTCATAATTGATCGCTATTTGATAAYTTATATGTGATAGCAGTTTAGTATGAAAATTGATCCATTTGATTAATTTAAAAACATTTAATTCATTAGTAATTCGTAATTTTTTTTTTTTTTTGGTTTGTAAAATACATGTAAAATAATGTATTGTAATAATATTGATAGGAAGTAATTTAATATTAGCTTTACGCGTTTTAACATAAACGTATATAAAAATTATTTTACTAATAATTTACTCAATTTTAATCTGTTCTTAAATGGATTACTTTTTAATACAAAACTGATTAAAGTTATTTGATATATTCAAAATTTAACGAACTTCCACTAGTCAATCAAAAATGTTTAGATTACTATTTTTAATGAACTAATTTATATTTGAAAAGTCAATTTTAAATATAAAATCCTGTTTGCTTTTGTTTCATTTTAATAATTAATTTCTACCTATTTTAAATGGTTTTTAACAAGATTACTATGTTCAAAATTAGGTTCATTAATAAYCAAACTACTGAAATATTTATAATACAAACAATAACATAATTACAAAAACACAAAAATTATAAGGATATTTGCAATTTGTTGATTTGATATCAATCGTTTTGGAAATCTCAGCATAATTTTTAAAATTTTAATTTAAATAAAAACAATTGATTTTAAAATAACATTGATCTAACCAATCATTTAATTAGTGGTACAATGAGATTGGTATTTATGTTATTTATGTTTGGGCTGTCTTTCGCTTGATTATTATATTATATGATAATAAAAAATATAGATAAGTCATAATATAATATACTGATATCAACACAGATTAATGATAAAATCATAAATCATATTATATATTATTCATGAAATATTATGTTAAATATAAGGATACACATGTGAACCTTACCTACATACATTAAAAATACTAAAGATAACATATTATCATCGATATACGAGTGTGAAACAATGGAAATATTACAGATTAATAAAAACGTATAATTACAGAGATGGAGATTTTACGTAAATTCAAATTATTCCGTATATTCTAATAGTTTGAATATAATGTTGAAATATATGCAATCTGGCATGGGTTATACATTATACATTATACTATTTTCTTGAAATGAAATAAAAGTAAAAACTTCTATTTAAATATTTAAAGTATAAAAATAAATAACCATTAAAAGATTTTATATTGTATGATTGTAATAATAGCTAGTTAACCATACAGACATTTTGGTATACAATTTCGTGAAAGTTGATCACAAAACAATAACAGCGACTATAAGTTTATTACACGTTTCATGTATCTTCATAAATTATAATCGGCTTAGTTTAACATAGCATTTTAAGTGGT